AAAAAAAAAAAAAAACAATAATTGAAGAATAAATTGGAATACGGTCTTTTTCTATGGAGATTTTGGTAGTATTTGTAATTCTGTGATTTTTATCTAAATTTCCTTCTGCTGTTGCTCTAGTACCATCATTTTTTGAACAGATGTTACACTCAAATTTGAAATTGAATTATTTTGACTAAATGACGGAGAAAAAAACAAGAAGGTGATTCCCTTTAAAGTCACTTTAGTGTATACTGCTGTGCGGTAGGTAGGTTATTAGGTGAATTTTAAAGGAAAAATTTTTTTTAATAGGAACATAGTGGACACTAATTGCTGGTTAGAAGCATGTATTACTTTTGATAATTAACACCCGACTTAGTTAAAATACCGAAGGTTTAATTGGTGTTACCGTGATTAGCTTTGAATGTACAATAGAAGATTGGGTTACACTTAGTAGGGTTTTGTGTTGATTACAAGAAAAAGGGCATTTTATGGTGCTGTTATTGTTTAACATCAAATAATTTTTCAACTATTCGGTAGCAGGAATTAAAGGGTTCATTATTTTTTTGACAGTTTTGCAATTGACTTTTTTGCTTTTGTTGATTAATTCGAATTCTTTTTTCCTTCTTTTTTTGCACATATTATACACAAAATGTCATCATTTACCGGGTTTCCCTTAATAGTCAATCAGTCACTCAGTCAGTTATTTAGTTAGTCAGCCAATCAGTCACTCATTTAGTTAGTTACTTAGTCAGTCAGTCATTCATTCAATAAGTTTAGACACTAAATAAAGACTGAAAGCGTTATGGACGTGCTGTCTGGTGGTTTAGAAAATAGTTGCTGTTTTGATACGTGATTATAGCGGAAGAGTACAGTTATCAGTTTTAAAAACTAGTACATCGTTAGAATTCAATAGTTTTTTAATTCTTTTTGAATTTATTAGACTATGTTAACAATTTTTTTCAAGGGTGAGTGGGAGAGAAAAGTAGAGGAGAAATAGAGACAGTTTTTAGCTCTTTAATTTTTATTTCTCTTTTATTGGATTTTATTTTATTCT